AAACCAGCTCAAAAGAAGGTAAATTGTCTTCATTATTTTACCAGGGCTAATTCTGAAAATGAAATCAGGCCCTCAATTTTATTTACATCAATTTTACGTCGTATATCTAACCTCTAAGAGGCTAAAAATCAAGTTTGGTGCGCGACTACTGAATCAATGTATTATGAACACGGTAACCAAGATCAAACTGAATTTCTACCTTCAAACAAACGCGCAGTCTAGTACTCGTTTCCCACGACTGTTACAGAATGATAAAATTATTTCTCAATGTGAAAGGCAAGTCTCCATGACAGACTTAACACTTTATATTTCGATGATTGTAAATACTTTTTTCTGAGCAAATTCATTCGGTCACAAGCGTTAAGCGAAATTCTTTTATTCGACATTATTTCTCAGCGCGGACCATTTACTTTTCCCACAGTATTCCCTGCTTCAAAGCTGACAGTCTTACTCTGTGGTTGATCTAATTAAGAAGTAGCTTCGACTTCACGCGAGGAAGTTGCGCTTGAAGTGAAATTCTACGAGGAAAACACTCTGATTGTAAAAGCGGAAGCCGGGGGTGAGCTATAATCAGCTGAAGGACTACGTTTCTGAAAAACGACGCAGAAAATTATTTCTTTCTTCGAAAGCCGTGAAAATCATTATCGATGCCAGCCTGGGTTTTTAACGTGAAGTGGTTATTTGCCCTTTTTATTTGCTCAAGCTAAATAGTCGCCGGCTTTGAAACATCTTATGGTTTGGTGAGAGCCTTCAGGGGATTTATTTTTAGGATCTTTTTGCTGTCAGTGTTTTTCATAATTAGTAAAATCTTATTAGAACCGAGAACGACCCTATTTGAAATGCAAATTTTCATGAGAAAGTTGCTTTTGTTAGCTAGCCGACAGGTGTGTTACAGCTTTCTAAAACAATAAACCGGCGGGCTCCTCAATTGATTTTTATTTTTCCTGTTCTTTTTATCTACGCACCATTTGGGAACAAATTTTTCGTTCTTACCGTTATAATTACTACGATCTGACCAATACAAAGAACAACAATACTCAGATATTCGTATAGGACCGAGCTGTAGTTAATTTGAGTCATCCGATCTTACATTCACTCATGCTGTAAAATAACTTGTCCACACTGAAGCACCTACTGCCGCGACTGTCAGACAGTTTTATAATTATAATTTCAGCATAAGTTTTTATAGTCTTTGAAAGGGGAACGACCATACCTTTTCAAATATGCGATCTTCGAATAAAACCAAGCAAGTCCTGGCTAGACAACTTTAAAATGTGTAACTCGACCTGATGTTTCGTGCACCCGTCGGGAAAGTTTGCGCCAATGCGGCCGTGAGAACACTGGCATTTGAAATTTTAACTGACAAGTGTGACATTAGACAAAAAAATGGAGTGGCCATAATCTGCAAGGGCTGATCAAGGTAGAAAATCCGCCGCAGCAGTGTCATGAGAGAGGCCCTTATTATTGGTGCCGCAGGAAGCGCGTTTCTCCAGTCGCGGGAAGATTTGAGACGATCTGAGGAGAGGTTTGCCCGGGAGGTTAGTGCCAGACCCCCAGCAAAACTCTTGCCGACTCTTGTGGGCTCATTTCCGCACAGCGGCTGGCAATCGAACCCACAAGAACGGCAAATATCTCCAAGAATCAAAAGAGATCCGGTCATAGCATAGACAAGGCTTTTGTGACGTCAATGGTCGAGTTCAGAAGTTTACTACAGATGTAGAATGGATACCTTTGTCTCTGACTGTAACGGGTGCGGTGAGGGAACAACAAAGTATCTTTCTGTCCTGACCCTCGTCGTTTTCCACGTCCAGGGCTCAAACCACAAGAGCCACATTCCCCATCGGATATGGCTTTTTCTCTCCCTCATCTCTATAATTATTCTACGTTTTTTCTTTCCATTAAAAATTTCCATTCATCTATTTAAAAGCAGGAAGCCATCAGCTTTTTTAAAAAAGGTTATCTGTGGGTAGCCGGCGGAAAAGCTTCCTGTACTTTTCAAATGGTTTTCAACTCTGGTTTCAGATCCCTATTTGAAAAAACACCACACGCTCTCTAAATCAAATTAGCACAGACATTATTTTCTGGAGAGAAGTCACGGGCTCAAACACAGAAGTACATATCCGGATTTGGAGTTCGTGTTGAAGCCGACTTCCACTCGATTATAATGGTCTGCAAGATAATGCACTTACTCCCAGCGCATAACAGAAAGAAGCCTTTAATTATTGTTCTGAAAATTTCACCAAGTGTGTTGTACCGGAACCTCAGAGAAATAATCTTAGGTAGAAATTGTCATTCGCTGTTGGACAAAAACAAACTTGCGTGTGAACACATGGCATACTAGCACACTTGCTGTCGACGCCGGCGGTCTTGTAGCCTTGTCGATGCTCGAAAACGACAGATTAAAAAAAAAAAACAAATAGCAGGTCGCTACAAGTTCCGGTTTTCCAATGCAGGGGTATGAATAATCTGTTCATGAAAGAAATATCGAGACAAGAAATTCAATCGTGTTTCGGCCTAATTTGCTCATTACTCCACTTTTTAGTTCCCTTGTAGCTTCCCTTGAATAGTATAAGGTCGAATGTTTTAACCCTTTAATTCTGTTTGTTTTAACTCTCAAGATCTGTTTATTAATTCCATTCTCTAGCTACTACACATTTCCTTGTAAGATAATTAACAACTTCTACCTGATAAGTTGGAGTATTCTGGACGAGTTTGCTGGATAATGTATGAATATTCTGGACGAGTTTGCTGGATAATGTATGAATATTGCAGAGAGAAGTTAGATGTTAATCAGTTTTGGAGTTAAAGGGATTGAAATTATAAAAGGCGGCATTGTGGGGGATTTTCTATCCCGTGGTCCACAGCTATAAACAGCAGGTTTGAGGAGCGGGATATCAAACACATCCTTGTGATCTATCGTGTCTCGTGTTCGAGTAATATTTTTATTATTTCCGGTAGGGTCACATTCACGCTTTCGATTACCCACTGTTTTGAGGGCCACAGCCATTAATAAACATAAAGGAAGCGTGTTCTTCGTTTGGATTATTGAAGTGACCTCACAGATTGTGCAGCCTCTTGTTGGGAAAATATACGAACCAAGTGTAAAGGTAAGTGATTGGATGTGTCGTAGCTCAGCAAACCGCGATTTGATAAGCAACTGGGGCCTGACACGAAATAGCGCATAATTTCTCTGTCTGTCTGACCTTGGCATAATGGTGATTGTTGGACGAGAAATTCGAGTTCATGTTACGTTTATATCAATGGGTCAATTGTATAGCTGGATGATAAACCGTAGATTCTGCCAGGACCGATAGGAAATATAAGCTGAAAGGTGAATATAATTACCTTAGCAATCGTTTATTTGGAAAGCCTTGGCGGCTTGAAGTTAAGCAAAGAGTGTGTCAAGATTTTTTCAGGTAACTGTTGACGGGACTTGAAATTTTAATTTCATAGCACTATCAAGGCAAAGAAGAAAATTTAGATTGAGCAGCTTTGTGTCGTTCATTTCTGGATTTCAGTTTCATGAATTAAGACAGATTATCTTCTCTCCATGACAAAGGTCATTATTGTTGGGTTTCAATGCCAGGCGAAGAAATTCCCATTAAGAGATGAATAGGATTATTGATGACTTGACAGCCAAAGCTGACATTTGCAAATTTTGAAAGGAATTATTTATCACGAAATTCAACAGAGTCAATCATTATCCCTCAGCGTTTTTTCGGGCTCCAGAAATAAACAGCACTACATGCATAATTATTTTCCTGACGTCTGCAACATAGACTGAAAGAGAAACTTTCTTTCATTCACATTTTTCGGATGCGGCCCATCGTTCGTTTGAGAGTTTTCGGCTTTCAGAGGGTTACGAACGAGTAAATTAGGAAACAATAGAACAGTTAGAAGAGATTTGGGAAAGGTTAAAAAGGTTTCTAGACATTTATCAATATAATCCACCGAAGCAAAAAAATATTCAAATTTTGTTTACGTCCAAAGATTTGGGATTAAGCGAGTTTTACATAGGCATTAAGATTAATGAGTTCCGTTGATAAGGATTGGAGGAAAAACAGCTTCAACATCGTATGAAAACGAGTTTGATAATCTCGTGATTCCATGATATCCCGAAATGAAAATTACTAAAATTATTGCTCAGAAGCATGTTTCGGTTCTCATACGAGAATTAAAAACGCAAAGAAAATAAATTATACAAGATCAGGCAATTCTGTGCTGGAGTTACAGAAATAGTTACGAACTGTGAACGATAAGGGAAAACCTGGCGGTAAGGTTTGTAAGCAGGGGATTCAGAGTAACGGTTTAAAAAGAAAGACTAAAAATGACACAGTTTTGTCAACTAGTGTTGCAGGTTTCGTTTGTTCAATGACCAGATAAATGTAGAATGTTTACTGGTTTTGCATCCGGCTAATAGAACGTCACTCTGACGGTGCGAGTTTCAAGAACCAACACCGAACGTATTACTGAAGACTATGAAACTTAACTTAACTATGAAACTTGTTAGAAAACGGCCATCACTGAAAAAGCCGTTAAATCAGCGAATTCATTTCAGAACTTAACTTCGTAGGGTCGTAGGTGGAAAGCGGATTGGCCTGAAATCTGGCGTTACTTAAAGTCGACGCGATTGCTGCTCTTGAGAGTCTTTCAAGCGAACAAGATGAGCAATCATGAGTTTAAATCTATTTTAAGTTTCATAACAAAAAAAATTACACCCCAAACACTTATCAGAACGAACAAAAAACAAGAAGAGCCTATAAGAACTTAAAGTGAAAGCGTGCAATCTGTCCGAAGCGTGGGAAAGCATGATACGTCTCGTCGCATGCATCTGATTTGGTCAGATGATGATACGAGTTTCTAGACCAATCACCGAACGATGAAAGGCAAAATTAATTCTTCCATGGAAAACTCCTGAAGTTCTATAACGATCAAAACCGTGTGGATAACAAATGCGGTCTATTCTTCTGTCAGTTTACGAGTTTTTAATCATGGGGTGTTATGTAACGTTACGTAGATAGACAAAAAGCATTGTGGCGAAAACATGAGGTTGAATGGGAATATTTACGGCCGCTCTTAGGGATAAAAAAAGTCAAATTAGCTAAAAATACCTCAACTTACTTCCACAGTGCATCGCTTGTTGTATGACAGCTTACTTTATTGAAACGAGGCCGTTTTAGCGAGTTATCCATTCTTAGGTTTCTTACTCTTAAGAGAAGGACAAGGCTGCACACTCCATTACCGAGAAGCGAAAAATTCAAGCTCAAATGACCAGGCGGCCACAAATCCAGCGCAGAATCCAAGCACGTGAATTGAACAGTAGCTTAATTTCAATTCACCACCAACTCATGATCAGTCCTTAATCCGGTGGTTTCAACAAAGTGAGCGGTCAGACAACAATTGATGTACTGTGGAAGTAAAAAGCAATGAGAATTTAAGAGCGGTCGTAAATATTCCCATAATTTCGCCACGACGCTTCTTACGCAAGATGATCATCTCACAGCTGGAGCTTGGGCCGCCTGCAATGTACTAAGAAAACTTGTGTGTGTATGAGAGCTAGATCCAAATTAATTCCACAGTTTCATCGTAGGATTCCTGAAACGCTGACAAGTAAGACGCAGTCGGGTGGAAAGCCCTCCTGAATAATCCCTATGTCGTATTTGGGTCGTATAAATGAATTTGCGCCGGCAGCGATTGGAAACATGTGAAACGCATCAATTTGATCGCATTGTGCATTCATAATGACATAGTTTTCACACATGAGTGGCACCCGAAATGAACAAAACGAGGATTTTCATTTTGGTTGTAGGCTCATCAGCGATGTAAATTCAACAAACACAGTGAACCGCGTTGACGGTGTGAAGTTAAAGAACTGAAGTTTAAGAACTTGTGTTTAAGTACTTATATGTGTTTCCTTCGGTTGTTCTCATCCACCGGAGAAGCGACATACTCATGGTATTAACCCATTGCCTCGCTAACTACTGGAAATCTAAGGTGTTCCTTGCCCACAGAACTGAAATCATTTTAGGTGTATTCAATAGTGATATCTATTAATATGGTTTATATTAAGACCGTTTTTATAGAGAAATGTTATACATCTTACACTACACATTTTCGATTGTTCGTGTAATTCGTAGATTTGTGCACCGGTTTTGGAGAAATATGTTATGTAACCGCGGCTTGCGGTCCGCGGTTTGTGTATGAATGCTATTCTCGAGATGAAGAGTACTGGGAACGAGGTTGAGTGAGTCTCTAAGAGCACCAAAAAAAAAATTCTTGAAGATGCCTAAATCTTTTACACCCCAACATCAGTATGCATGGTCTCCATACTGTTCCATACACATTTTCAAAGGTATTTACATAGAGAATTTTCTTAACAGTCAAGATATTTCCTTTTGAATCTTTTGCTCTTTTTCTTTTACAAAAATGCAAACATCAGTTACGTAGCGTCCCATCTCAGCTCATCCATCAAAAACAAAAACAAAAAAGTCTTGCATACGTAGCATGCCTATGTTTTGATCTTACGATTATTTCCTTTATTCACGTGCAAGGAGAAATCCTTGCCAGCCATTCTTAAAAGGATTAACTTGTTTTGTATCTTCTTATTTGTAGCCTTTTTTCAAGATCTTTTTGCCATATCTTTTTTTGTTCTGTTTCATATATTTTCGTAGACAAACTTTCTTACTTGGACAACTCTATCATGAAGTCAACCTCTGAAGTTAAAACAGACGATGGCCACTCGGTTGTAAACGGCTCAGCGCACAAGTACTCTGGGGAATCTACTACACAGAATGGCCATGTATCTGCCAAACAGAATAGTCACGTGCCTGACTTGCAGAATGGTCACGTGCCTGACTTGCGGAATGGTCACGTGCCTGACTTGCAGAATGGTCACGTGCCTGACTTGCAGAATGGTCACGTCGCAGAAACACAGAATGGTTACGTGGCAGAAACACAAAATGATTACGTGGGTCCGTCAGCCTCCGATTCACAGCATGACACTGCTCAGCTGCTCGTTAAAAGGAGAAAAGTAGGAAACCGGGTCCAGGATGCCGAGAGAGTTAGAACCAAAAATGAAATTATCAATTTGTCCCCAGGCCTACCAGGTTTCAGCGCCAATATTATAGGATTCCTCATGTTGCTATGGCCACCAGTCTGTGTTGCCTTCTTCTGGCACGCCTGTCACGCATATCAGTGCTCTCTTGGAGATTTGGGGGGGCAAGTGCTGCACGAGATATCCGCCTGGACCATCATCGTCTTCGCGAGACGAAACATCCCGGAAGTTAGCGCAGGTTCGATAATGTTGTACAGCGCGTGGATGCTTCTGCAAGTGTTTTTGTTCTTGGTACTTCCTGGTCGCATCAGACGTGGAACAGCTACGCCTGCTGGAAACGTACTGACCTATAACTGTAATGGCTTAAGTGCTTGGGTTGTGTCTCACGTTCTGTTCTTTATCTTGGTGAAAATGGGCCTGATACAGGCAACGATTATCAGCGACAACTGGGGAGCCTTGATGGTCATTTCCAATGTGTTTGGCTTCAGCTTGGCCCTCTTCTCCTACGTCAAAGCGCATTATTTTCCGAGTCATCCGGAAGATCGGTGTTTCAGTGGATCGTGTTTCTACGACTTCTTTATGGGTATCGAGCACAACCCCAGGATTGGTGCTTTTGATTTCAAGTTGTTTTTCAACGGAAGGCCTGGAATTGTGGCCTGGACATTGATCAACCTGTCATTCGCTGCCAAGCAGTACAAGGACTTTGGTTACGTTAGTAACACAATGATTCTCGTCAACCTATTGCACGCTACTTATGTTGTTGACTTCTTCCTCAACGAATCCTGGTATCTGCGCACTATCGACATCGCCCACGACCACTTTGGCTTCTACTTGGCCTGGGGAGACACAGTCTGGCTTCCCTTCATGTATACTCTACAAAGTGTTTACCTGGCCCGAAATCCAGTGAACCTGCCCTGGTGGGGATGTGCAGCCACCCTCTTAATGGGTTTGACGGGTTACTTGATCTTCCGATCTGTCAATCACCAAAAAGATTACTTCCGGGTGGAGATGAAGACGAATGGTAAATGTACTATCTGGGGCAAACCTGCTCGGTACATTTTAGCACCTTATGCCACCACCGACTCCAAGCAACAAGTCTCTTTCCTTCTGGCTTCTGGTTGGTGGGGACTCTCCCGCCATTTCAATTACGTCGGCGACTTGCTAAACGCGTTGTCGTACTGCTTAGCGTGTGGGTTTGGTCACGTGTTGCCGTATTTCTATATTGTTTTCATGTTGTGCCTTCTGATTCACCGTTCGTACCGTGACGACGTAAGATGCAGGCAGAAGTATGGCGTGCACTGGGAGAAGTACTGTGAAATAGTACCCTACAGGATCATTCCGTACGTGTTCTGAAAAAAGTTGAAAATGCCAGTATCTGCACCTATATGTTTGCTTTTTTCGCAGAAAAACAAATTTGCCATCAAACGACATGATACAAATTTGCCACTAATGAACAACAGGGGAGCATAGGGTCAAGCAGTCTTGTGGTCGGTAGATGTGGACATAACTTCATGAACACGTCTGTTACTTATTTATCTTGGTGTTGGGAATTTAAAATTGATATTTATCACAAGTTCATTATATTCGGTGAAATAATCAGTCACCGCGAGAAAATAATTTTTCTATACCCGTATTATACTTGCTGCTAACTGTTAGCAGTATTGATCATAAAAATTACAATTTCCTCGCTTGTGATTGGTTTAAAAAAAACTCCTGTTTTCCACTAATACACTTGCCAAGTTGTTATCGGACAGTTTGTCATCAGAAAGTTCAATAAGCCAATCACATTCAAAGTTGTAGTTTAAGTCAACCAATCATATTCAAAGTTGTTATTAAAAGTCAATTTAAGAGTGGCATTACACAATTTACACCCACTTGTCAGTCTTTAAATGAAAATTTTCCCTTTCTTTCATAATTTGGCTATTCTTCCTCTCTCGGAAATTGTAATTTTTATGATAAATTTGTAACAAGACTTCGTGTCGTCCAATTCGGTCTGTAATCATACTCGTGATAAACAAATCGGTCCTCCGATTTTGTTATCACTCGTATGATTACAGACCGCTTTGGACTCTACTCAGTCCTATTACTATTACTAGTCGAGATAGAATTTCTCTAATCTTGAATTCGGTGAGGAATTACATGTTCTCTTTTTGTGACAGTTACCCTCTTCAGAGATTCATGTTTGATTTACCAGGCTCGCCTTAGGAAATAAATAATCTCTTTACACGAGGAATATGATGGTGATCATCTTTAATAAGGAAGATTTTTGTACAAGAAATTTCCGCAAAATACCTGTCATGTATTTTCGATATTTATTTGTATTTTTAAAATGTACTTATTTTAGATAAACTTATTCTGAATTCACTATCAGATAAGAGTTCACTTCACTATAATCTCAATGCAATTTAACACCTCGAGGTGGCTGTATGTGCAAATAATTATCAGTTTTTTCTTTAATATTTTCCGCGTCCATTTTTATTCATAAATAGTATATTCGTTCTAAGAGTACGTTAATTTACGGAGAAGGGCCTCCTCCCTCCCCAGACTTGAATGAGTGGCTACTACCATTTGTAGGGCAATTTTCAGTGGAGTCCTGGCCCGGGTTGTTCAAAGCTGGGTTAAGGTAACCCAGGGTTAGTGTGAAATTTGATTTCAGGTCTGAAAGCTTTAAGAGAAAATTCAGTTCAAATCTTTTTGCTTGCGATCTGATCATTGGATGTTCTAAAAGTAATAATGAAAATTTTCCCTAAAAGACTTTTGGACAAAGAAATAAAGAAACCTGAATTAAAATTTAACCCTAGGTTCGGGCTAATCGGCCTTTGAACAACTGGGCTCTGGTCTGCTTTGGGCTTGTTTCAATTCACATTGTGATTTGTCCAAAATCGGCAGAGAATGACTTTTGATTTTTTTAGTTTGTAGTTTGAATCCCAATCGAAATCCTGCACGTTCTTACATTATACAAAGCAGTAATTGGGTTTCTTATCAACACTCCCTTATCGTGGCACCCAAAGAGAATATTAGCCCGCAGATTGAGCGATTTGCTGCTTGAATTTGGGTACAGCTCAAAATTCGCCAGGTAAAGCCGAATTTCAGTACGTTCCAGAGATACAGAACCGATTGGTCAGGCTACAGTATGAGACATAGTAAAGAAACATTGGAGAGGAAGAGGTGTTACGGCGAAGAAATACCAAAAACAAACAGAAGCGGGGAAGCTATGAGCAGCGGGGGGGGGGGGGGGGGG